AGGCACTATAGTACCTGTGACAATGGAAATTTCTTACTACTTGTGGAAAAGGCAATTTTACTTGTGCCCCTGACATAGGCAATTCACTAGCAACAGTACAGTCTTTAAATTTAATAATAAAATATTTCATCACTTTTAGCTTTAATATTCATGTCTATAATAAAAGAACTATAAAATACCCTGTTATAGTTCGAATATCCAATATAATATGCCATTGCAAATGAAATCTGTGAGTCTTAATGTTCACTATTACACTTATATTTTATAAAATTTTATAAAACTGTATAATGCATTACTCTAAAAAATGTTACAAATAATTTGTTGACATTTTTTGGAAATTAAGGTAGCGGATACTGTCTTCTAAAATGTCTCGCGATATTCTTACTTTAAACCATTTTACCCTTTAACCTGCTAAATATCTGTAATGGACTTGCCCATCATTCAAACTGGACAAAACCATTCATCATTTATAGGGATTAAAATTGCAAAATACGAAATACTGAATAAAAAGCATCGAAGAATACAATGTATGATCAAACAGCACTGACATGCCAACTGCAATGTAACTTTGTGATGAAGATCAAATACTGCTTAAGACAGTGAGTACTAGGAGGCCGTAAAAGATTTTGTACTGGCCGTTATTTCTCATTATAAGACTCAATAAAACCGAGAAGGCTATTTTAACAATCTATTTTTAGTATTATTGCTCAAAAAGGATTTCACTATTGTTTGGAGTCAGGACACTATGAAGGGCTATATTTTTGGGGGCATTTAAAGGGTTTTTGGGGGCATTCTAAGGGTATGTTTGGCCTAACTCCTGCAAAATTTTCCTCCTTACTAAAACAGATAAAAATTAAAAGACATATTGTTATCATATCATTTAAAATAGCAAGGCAGATGATAATTTTACACTGTTATTAATTTTAATCCAAAGCGTATGAAAATCAATTGTTTTAGAGATTGTGTTTCCCATTGGTAAGTATAGATTCCAACTAAATGGGCCACAAACAACTGTACCCTAACAAATAAAAGAATAAAATTTTTTAGGTTGGGTTAAACCATTTTACATGGCACCAACACAACAGAGAGCACATGGCATCTTTTCTGGTGGAGGAAGTGCACCTTCTGTGCATTATTTAAGGCACGCACAGCCACCTGGGTAGAACCAGTGACGTTCCGTAAGCTAGCTGGATAGCTTCCTCAAAGGAAAAAAATTATTACATAAACAAAATGAAGATGATAAACAAGTTGTTGACAAAAGAAATGCATCTAAATTACACATGGGGAGTGTTGAAACTGGAAATAAATCCTGTAACATGTGATAATTGTGACATTTCAAAATGACAATATACTCAGGAAATTGTTCGTATTTTTTTCTGTGAATATGGACAATATCTGACTAAAATGTTATAATTTTTTTAAATATTTTCAAGAGCAAATATGAAAACTCACTGAAAAGTTAGATACAGTCCAATATTAATATTTCTCTTATTCAAAGTCATATTCTATAATTTTTCCATCTAAATAACAATAGCTCTCAGTAGGGCAGTGCGCTCAACTATTCTCAGTGCTTGATTGTAAAATAATAGAGCCTATATAAATATAGAATATTCCAAGTTCAAAAAGGGCCATAACTCCGTTCAAATCCAATGTTAAAGAGTTATGGCCCTTGGACAATGACCTTTTATGACCTCAAACAAGTGTGTTATTTTTTTTAACCTTTTCCGTTCAGCTGTTTTCAAGATACCAACTTAAACCTAAAGTTTAACAAAAGAGTGACTGTAACGCTGACACCAATACACCAACCCAGAGGCCTGGGTGAATATTATTAATAGCTCTTACTATTCTTTGAACAGTAGAGCTAAAATTTAATCACAAGTTACGAAAAATTAGCACAAAATGATGCAAGTTTATATATCATTTTTCAAGGACATGAAAATTAAACCCAAATTCTTAAATTGGTGAACAAGCACCTTAAATATAAGATGTTAAATTCAGATATACCCATATGATCTGATACCATTTAAAATCAATGTAACTTTATATACTATATTAAACTTCAGTAAACTGATACAATATTCATACTCTATGCTGTGCATATTGGTTATGTTTCTTTTTAAGAATATCCAAAATGATTTCTAAATCTTTGACACTTAGGTATATAGAGGTGGTGCTCATGATATTAATTACTTGTAAGCCATTGTATTGGATGTTTTTCATCATTTTGTCACCTTAGTGCAGTAACGGGTTAAACTCCTTATATGATTTAATAGAAGTTAACCTATAACTGCACTGAGGTAACAATTTTTTTCGTTTCGACACATTTTTTTCCCCACAAAACAAAAGTTCAAACATTTTTTTTCCCCAACAGTTTCACAAAAACCTAATAAATCAAACTTTTTCCTGCTGCACATCATTCATGTATTTCACCTAGTACAGTCATAGTTCTAAAAAAAATAAGGACTGACTTAGCTGTTATTACCACCATAATTATTATTAACGCAGTATGGGCTAATTTTGCTTACTTTGATTGCAAGTGCTGTTTATAATGTATAAATTCCTTCTTTGTTTTGTTAAGAACACAGACATCACAGTTATAATTTAACTACCATGAACAAATCATGTGCTATATAAAGTTAAATCTATAAATTTGTATTTGAATTAATTCTGTATACAATGTATTCTCTAATTAAACCACCCATCCCCTTCTTCGAGAATTACCAAGGTGCATAAAAGCATTTTATCAAAGGAATCTTTCTAAATTATACAATTTAAATCATACAGAAAATAACAAATAAAATTGAGTAAACATTCTTTTTATTTTGACAATATTTTACATTTTTTTGTGTTATAATATTACCTCCCTTCTTTTGGAAAATGTTATGCTCCTTTGGGTCATTTATTAGAGGATATTCGGTATACAAATTATTTTTTTTTTATATAAATATCATGTTCACAAATCATTAAAACAGCAGTAGTATAATACAATATAATATAGGTAGTAGATTAAAGCGATTGGTTAATATCATGTTCACAAATCATCAAAAAATCAGTAGTATTATATTAAATAATATAGGTAGGTAGATTAAAGCGATTTAGTTATTAAAGATCCTTCCTATATATCTGATGAACCGTTAACCAATATCAAATATCAACACTTTATCAAATATTCAAGTTTCCATTGTTCTTGCATGATAAAATCTGTTATTTGCATGATTCATGAGCAAAATCATCCACTATTTGTAATTTTTTTGTATTAGTTAATTACTTTGTACGGTATTATGCCACAACAACTTGCAGAACATTGATGGTTCTTATACTCAGGTGCATGTTCGTGCCTCAAAATAATGCAAGGCAGGACATCTGAGGTCTTCCTCCAACAGTAAAACTGGAAAGTCACCATATGACCTATACTGTGTTGGTTAGGCTAGCTTAAATGAACTTAATCAATGCATTTGACAAATTTTTTAATCATCACAACAATTTTTTAAGTTTTCATTAAAATCAACACAAAGCTGGAGGCGAACTGACTTTTGACTTAATGGATAAAAAAATCACTACACCATGTCTTGAAAACCTACACAATTCTGTGTACATGGTCTTGCAATTACATATACCTGTTACTTTCCATCACTGTACCTCTCTTGCGAGCCTATATATTTTCACTTATAACTTTCTTGCAAATACAAGAAGTAGACTTGTTTCACCACTTTTTTCAGGTCTTTTGAGATCAATAATTTTAATATATTAAATGTTTCAGGTTGTTAATATATAAATTCACCGTGGCCGAGGAGTTTGCGCGCTCGCTTAGTAAGCGAGAGGTCTGGAGTTCAAATCCCAGTTAATGCAACTCTTTTTTTTTTTTCAAATTGTTTAAGTCAAATAAACATTGGATTGAATATCAGTGTTGCAATTAGTCTTATAGCCAATCTACTACAATTAAAACGCTGGAAAGCATTGGTGGCACTGTACAAAATTAAATTGTTTTATAATCTCACAACCTTCACCTTTCTGACATTCTGAGACCCAAACAAATTAAGTGCCTTCTGTGCTTTGCTTATTCTTGTTTACTATTTTTATTCTTATAACCGAGATCTCTAAGGATCATCCCTTTTCAGGTTTCATAACATGTTTAAGAATGTTTTAGGAAGTTTTCATATTCACATATAGGCAAAATTTAAACTGTTTTAAACAGCATGCTAAGTTTAAAGAAATTCTTGGAACATTTAAACTGTTTTAAACAATATGCTAAGTTTAAAGAAATTCTTGGAACAGTTTTAATTTTGCTTATATCTATATGAAAACTCAAAAACATCTTTAATTCCCTTTACATAGGTACTTTAATTTAGCATAAGTACTTTATTTTATGCAGGAACTTCATTTTACACAATAACTCTATTTTGCATAGGACTTCATTTTTAGTAGGTACTTTATTTTGCATATTTAGGTAATTCATTTAGCATAGGTACTTCATTTTGCATATGTACTTCATTCTACGTAGGTACTTCATTTTATCATGGTACTTTATTTTGCATAGGAACTTCATTTTACCTAGGAACTTTTTTTAATGTAGGTATTTCATTTTGCATAGGAACTTCATTTTAAGTAGGAACTTCATTTACATAATGTACTACATTTTATGTAGGTACTTCATTTTGCATAAGAACTTCATTTGCACAGGTACTTCATTTTGCAAACGTACTTCATTTTACTTGGTGCTTTATTTTACATAGGTACCTCATTGTACGAAGGTACAATGTACTTCATTTTGCATAGGAATTTCATTTTGCACAAGAACTTTATTATTAGAAGGTACATTATTTTAGGCATTTCACTTTATGTAGGTACTTCAAGGATGGCAATACAACAACAACCTGACTGTAGCAATAGCTCAAAATGTTTTTTTTTTAAGTTGAGAATCAATACAATTACACTAACAGCTAAGGGAGACAACTCACACTAAGAACTAGGGGAGACAACTCTTTTCATCAGATTCTTACCTGATCATCCCTCCTAGCCATGTTACGAGGTCGTACATTAGATGCTGGAGTCGGGGCTGGAGCGTGAGCACTGTTATTGTCTCTCAGAGGCGAGAGTGTTCTGTGTGGTCGGAAAGGGCGGGTTATTTTTCCGGAATACAATTGCTCTTTTGGTTCCCTGTGTAAAATTATAAAACATATATCATACATTTTTATATTCATAGAAATATTTTGTTACTCAATAAGAAATACAACCATTTTATATTTCTAAACTTGCTCAAAAAACATATTTTGTTAATTCAAGTTTATTTTTCCTCATTTTCTTGGTTCTTTATTTTTTTGTATGAATTAAGTGTACAAGAGAGTAATTCCTAAAATTAGCAGATAGTACATTTATGTGCTAATAAAACAACAATGTTTTCAATTCAATTATATATTTACTTAAAGTACAAAACAACACAATGCATCAAAGACTACTGAAAGAAACATATAAAACCTTTCCTAAATGATAAGAGTGCATATGTATATTATCTTCCCATCTCAGAGGAGGTAAAAGAAAGGAAATAAATTCAAATGTTTCCATACCCCAAGTAAAATAAATAGAAAATGCAAAAAGCACATTAAAGGTCATATGATGACTTTCCAGCTTTACTGGTGGAGACAGCCCTCAGGTGCCCTTCCATGCATTATTTCAGGCACAAACTGGCACCTGAGCAGGCATTCCGTAAGCTAGCTGGAAAGCTTCCTCTCATAGAAGAATCTGGGATTTGAACCCAAAGTGGTGTGGGGCAAGTTATTTGAAGTCAACAGCCATCATCATGGACCCCCCATACAAATGCAAATATAAACCTTCATTGGCCAAACTAGTTACTGTGAAGCCTGACCTATCCCTATATGATAATACTAAGTCAAGAATATTTTTTCTCAAATAGTGAATGTACATCAGTTAAACAAAACAGAGTAAGAACTGATCTGCCATGTAACACTCCTTAAACCAAAAGTGATTGGCCTTTGCCACCAGTATAGAGCCAGGCCAGTCTATACATCCCTTTAGTCTCAACCATGTTGGTCAACTTATGGAACTGGCTGAGTCTATTTATTTTTTTAATTAAGCCTATCAAAGGGAGACACAGGCAAATTTTCATTTCTTTGTTTTCCTTTTTCATTCATTATTCTGTGAATTATATAAAGCAGTCAAAGGAACAAAATTTTTCTCCTTATAAAAAATAAAACCGTTGTTTCCTAACTTGACCCACGTGGGTCAGGTTAGAGCGTTAATATTTCACAATAGTTGTCACAGTGAACTCTGGAAACGTTAAAAGACATGTCAAATGAATGACTAAGACTTGTTTCTATCATACAATATGCACAATAGCTCTTATTGTAACTTCTGGGATTTGTTCAAATCACATGACTTGTTTCAAAATTACTCGTTGATTTTGTTGGCTTCTAATTTTCGTTCAATGTATCTAGATATACTTATGCTTCTAGGCCAAAATATATAGAATTGTCATTTTAGCATGATTTGAGTACAATAAATCATTTTAATATTTTTGTCATTTATTTGCCTGAGTATCCTTTTAAGGTCAAACAGGAAAGTGTGAGAACTGACCTTCCCCTGTAGGAATACATGGGTTTTATAAGGAAAAGTCCCGACTCCTGCTCGATACTGTCTAGCGTCTCCATCAACATGTTAGCCAGTCTGTACCTTTCTGACCCCATCTCGTCCATACGTTCTGCCCATCTCTTTGCCCTCTGTAACAGCAAAACATTTGTTTCTTGTTAAAAAAACTTTTTTTTCTTGTTAAACCTATACTTAAATCCACTTTTGTGCGGAGACACTGAGTTATTTCATGTATGGGTAACATATCACCGCTCCTAGGATTCCGAACCAAACAAACAATATCCAAGAATCTGGCTCAAGATTCATTAGACCGACTTATGCATATTAATTAATAATTCTTATATATTTATACAAATATATCATTTATAAAGATTTTCAACATCTTATATGACCCAGTATACAAGTATATATTCATATATAACAGTTTTAGCCCTATATAACCAAAGCCACTTATAGCAAGAGTTATATCCTATCAAACGAACTGTACATACACGATCATATAACCAAGATTCAATAAATACTAAAACAAATAAAAAATTTAGCATAATTACAATCTTTGATTTAATTCATTAATTTACAGCAATCGTGTTATATATATATGAAATATATAAACAATCATAATCGTCCAATGAAAATAAATGTTACAAATATATAAACATCATAATTGTCCAATTAAAATTAACGTTACAAATAAGCCTTATTACAAAAACATAGCTGAGGGATGGACAAAGGGATAGTAAGGGCATATTGATTTTGTATAGAGTTAACCGTAAACGCTCTGCGTGAGGTATCTTGTTTACCAACCACCACCATCCTTATAATCCAATCCTCTCTCGGAAGGATCCGAAAATAATCAAAACAACATTTCATTATGACTTCGATAACCGAGTGGCTAAACTGCAAATTACTGCATCCCTTTCTAATAAATGCTCACTCCCCTTTGACAAAGAATAAGACAATAGCATATTATTTTAAATCCAAGGAGGTAAGCACAAATTTAAATGCCGACAATATGCATTTGTGGTATAAGAGAAGTTACGTCCTGATAAAACTTTAAAATCATTCAAGGACCCTAACACTGACAAAAATGATTGAACTGGAATTTTAATGCCGATAAAATCCAAAACTAGACTTGTAACAATGATTATTGACAGATTTTATGGATTTATATAATAGTTGTTTGCCATATAACCATTATCTAGCAAGTATATATGCAAACAATAATTCACATAGGGCCAGGCCATATATGTAACCTTTATATATATATGCAAACAACCATTTATATAGAGCCATATAACCTTTATTTATGCAACAACTATTTATATAGGGTCATAATTATAACCTTTATATATGCAAACAACCATTTATATAGGTCATATAAACCTTTTAAATATGCAAACAACCATTTATATAGGGTCATATAAAGTTTATAATATGCAAACAACATTATGTAATATATTGGCCGGTGTACTAATAATAATTCAATTAACCTTTATCTGCTATTCACTAAAATAAAAAAGGGAGATAACTAATAACATAAAAAAAATTAGTCCCTCCAAATAACTAAATTCTTTGAAAATCAGTAAATTGTCTGAAGCACAAGTGCATTGTCAAAATTAATATTTCAAGTTCAAGTTAATACAGGTCCCTGACATTGAATGGGACATTATAATAATAAAGTTGTAGTCAGTTTCATCATAATTATAAGAAAAAATCAATAACTGGACCTTGAAAGTAAAGGTCAATGATGAGTAAAGATCAATGTCTCATCATTTAAAAGGTGAATCCAAAATGACTATTGTGTCCATATTTGAGGACACAAGAAGTATTGTTAAACAGAACTTAAATATCTGAGCAATTTAACTAGAAAGTTTAAGAACTGTCCTGTACATTTTATTATAGAACTATCTTTTAATTTTTTATCATATAGGTCAAGAACAATCCTTTACAGTTTAGTTTCAAATTATCCTTTACATTTTATTTTAGAATGACCAATGAGATTCCCAGATTTCATTTTGTAATTTAAAAATGACCAATGAAAATTCTTCTTATATTCAGTTCTTCCCTGTAAATTTTACAGGACAAACTGAAAACAGATGGCCTCCAGCCAGAAAAAAGGCAGATATATCAAAGGAAAACAAGTCTTCTAAGGCCAATTTGAATGAAAAAAGGACAAAATTATATCAAACTATCTATCAGTGTTATCAAACTTAAAACACACAGTTGCATCATGAAATTGCAATGATATTTCAAGGTCACATTTACCTCTCTACTGCTTCCTGAGATGGGAAGGGAAACTTAGTAAACAAAAATTAATAACTTGAACCTTGAAATTCAAAGTCATTTATGACTCAAGATTAATGTAAATGCCATCGACTTGAAGGTCGATCCTCAAGGATTGTTGTGTCCAAGTATGAAAACAATTTAGTCATAAAGAACTAAGCTATAGCCACTTTGTTATATTTTTGTGACATTTTCTAAGTTAGAAAGAGGCATAATTCTGTTCAACTAACAATTAAAGTTATGAAACTTGACACAGACAATTGCATTGTGTTATTTGTTGGATGTGACAAGTTTCTAGATATTATCACTACCGGTTTCAAAAATGGGATGGGATGGCACGGCACAGACAGGACACAGTGATTCCTATATAGCCCCCTCCCCCCTTTCGTGGGGCAGTTATAAAAACACGATGTTGCCACATGGCCAAGTGGTTAACACATCAAACTAGTAATGTAATGATCGCTACCAACATGTATAAATCAATATAAACAGAAAATTTGTGACATACGTGATTCTGCAAGGCTTCCATTTTATCAAACAGCTCAAACACATTCTCATTCAAACTTTGACTTTTCTGTACATTTTCTGTGAATAAAAAAAAAAAATCTTTTAGTTAGTTCATGAAATTCCTAATATGTGACATGTACAGATGTTTGAAGTACAAAATCATCTTTAATACAGCATGGCTCCAGATTCATGCTTGAAAATTTTAAAAGTGTATTTAAAAAAAAATTTTGTGAAGTGATCAAAGAAAATATTATACACATTGAAGACGGTTGAGTGACTTGCAACCCAGGTAAAATACTAAGATTAGTCAAAATAAGCAAAACTAGCACTAGATACCAAATGAGCCGCGTCATGACAAAACCAACATATTGGGTTTGCGACCAGCATGGATCCAGACCAGCCTGCGCATCCGTGCAGTCTAATCAGGATCCATGCTGTTCGCTTACAAACTCGATAACAAGTAGAGAAACTGATAGCGAACAGCATGAATCCTATCAGACTGCGCGGATGCGCAGGCTGGTCTGGATCCATGCTGGTCGCAAACCCATTATGTTGGTTTTGTCGTGGCGCGGCTCAAATGTTTAGTCTCGATAAATAAATCCGTTATTTACTTACTTACTTTAAACAATATTTATGCTCATATGGCAACTTTCAAGCATTACAGACAGAGGAAGACCTCAGGTGCCATTGGTGCATTATTTCAAGCACAAACTGGCACCTAAGTAGAGCCACCGACATTACTTAAGCTGAGCTTGATAACTTCCTCACATGAAAGAATCCAAAGTCTTTGTCAGGATTCGAACCCATAGGGGTGAGGGTCAAGCAGTTTGAAGTCAATGACCTTTAGCAATATGCCGTGGACGTCAACAATCTTAACCACTATGCCGCGTACGCCTATAAAGACAGACCTCCTAAACCTTTGGTCATGGATATAAATGTAAAAAGAGCTTATATACATGTAGTATAGTTATATTTAGTATCATAGTAGTTATATTTAGTATCATAGTAGTTATATTTAGTATCATAGTAGTTATATATAGTATCGTAGTAACCTTCAATGTCTTTCATACGGCAGTGGTGAACGTATTTCCTGACGAGATGTGCTAAACGTTGAGCTGGCAAGCTGACATATTCATCCATCTGTACCATGGCTTCCTACAACACAGTGTGTCACATTTATATCAAATTATGTGTCACATGAATAGAATGTCACAGTTAAAAAAAATGTCACATTTCATAGTATGTCACAGTTAAAAAAATGTCCCATTTCGTAGGAGAATGTTATATAATTTTACAGCATAATGTTATATATAGTAGAATGGTGCCACTCAAATTGGATAGAATGATGTCACACTTAAATAGAATGATATCACAAAAAGTAAAATGGTGTCAAATTTAATTAGAAAGTTGTCACATTTAAAAAGAATGATGTCACAAAAAGTACAATGGTGTAACATTTAAATAGAATGGTGTCACATTTAAATAGAATTATATTACATTTAAATACAATGATGTCACACTTAAATGAAATTAAATCAAATCTAAATAGAATTGTATCACATTAAAATGGAATTATGTCACATTTAAATACAATGATGTGACATTTATCTGCAATGATGTGACATTTATCTGCAATGATGTCACATTTAAATACAATAATGTCACATAACAATAAAAGATGTCACATTTTAACAGAATAAAGAAAGTATATATAAATAAACCAACTTTATATCTATTAGCATCAAGTTTCCTCTCGTTCACGGCTTTCTTCATGATTTTGGCGTTCCTCTCTGAGTCAAGACGCGTAAACATAATAGCCGAGTCAGTATTCTGAAACAATATGATTATATGTTATAATAATTCTTGTGACAGTCATCAGACATAGTTAACTAGGGCTTGGTGTGAAAGGGTTGTAACTCATATGAAATAAAGAAGGAGTTAAGGCCCTTTCACAACAAGCTGTTGTAAGTCAATGGGGCTTTTTTTTAAATACCTGGCTGAAATTTTTATATTGTAACATGAGTTTAACATGCAACGTTAATGCTCATCTGTTAAGAATAACGACTATCAATCAATTTTGATGGTGAAAAAAATCTTAGTTCAAGAAGGGGCATAACTCTAGGAATATTGTTTTCATGATTATGCCCCTTGTGTTATAACTGTACCTTGTCATGATAAAGCACGTATTCCAAGTTTTCATGTTGATAACTGTTAACACATTTGAACAATGGGCTATTGTTTTTCATGATGACAACAGCCACACAGTGATCATAATTACTCCATTTTTTCTCAAAACAGACAAGATAAAAATTTTATTTAAAGTTTTGAAAACCTTTAAGTATACTCAAACAAGGTACAGAAAGCCTAAATCTTTGAGTATAGGCTATTGTTCTTAAAAGGCTCAAAAGTGACCTCAATTTATTTTAAGAAAATACAGCTTTGCATGAAGGCATATTAAATTTTATTGTAACTTACTAAATACCTTTGCTAATGAAATTCAAAGGTCCTGAAACTATAAAAACAAAGGGAAAACAATCCAAGGTCAGTCACTTTTACCTTAATGTCAGTCACATTAACCACAAGGTCAATCACCTTTAACACAAAGTCAGTAACCTTTACCACAAGGTCTGTCAACTTTATCACACGGTCAGTCACCTCAATCACAAAGTCAGTCACCTTTACCACAAAGTCAGTCACCTTTACCACAAGGTCAGTCACCTTTACCACAAGGTCTGTCAACTTTATCACACGGTCAGTCACCTCAATCACAAAGTCAGTCACCTTTACCACAAAGTCAGTCACCTTTACCATAAGGTCAGTCACCTTTACCACAAGGTCTGTCAACTTTATCACACGGTCAGTCACCTCAATCACAAAGTCAGTCACCTTTACCACAAAGTCAGTCACCTTTACCACAAGGTCAGTCACCTTTACCACAAGGTCTGTCAACTTTATCACACGGTCAGTCACCTCAATCACAAAGTCAGTCACCTTTACCACAAAGTCAGTCACCTTTACCACAAGGTCTGTCAACTTTATCACACGGTCAGTCACCTCAATCACAAGGTCAATCACCTTTAACACAAAGTCAGTAACCTTTACCACAAGGTCTGTCAACTTTATGACACGGTCAGTCACCTCAATCACAAAGTCAGTCACCTTTACCACAAAGTCAGTCACCTTTACCACAAGGTAAGTCAACTTTCACCACAAGGTCAGTCACCTTTATCACAAGGTCAGTCACTTTTACCACAAGGTCAGTCACCTTTATCACAAGGTCAGTCACTTTCACCACAAGGCCAGTCACTTTTACCACAAGGTCAGTCACCTTTATCACAAGGTCAGTCACTTTCACCACAAGGTCAGTCACCTTTACCACAAGGTCAGTCACCTTCACCACAAGGTCAGTCACCTTGACCACAAGGTCAGTCACCTTTACCACAAGGTCAGTCACCTTTACCACAAGGTCAGTCACCTTTACCACAAGGTCAGTCACCTTTACCACAAGGTCAGTCACCTTTACCACAAGGTCAGTCACCTTCATCAAAAAACCTCAAGGTCAGTTAGCTTGACTAAAAGGTCAATTACTTTTACCACAAGGTTAATCACCTTTACCACAAGGTCAGTCACCTTCAAGGCCAATATAGAATCTGAATAAAGCTGAACAGAAATAATAAAAGATCTTGAAACAAGGAGCAAATAATTCAAGGTCAGAAGGTTACTGGGTCATTAAAGGTCAATAAAGAATATTCAATTAAATAATACTAATATTACCTGTATACCAGCTGTAGAAGCACTTGCCGAAACTGGTCGTCGTGTCTGCTTGCCAAGGGCAGATAATTCTCGTTGAAGTTGATTAATAGTGTCCTGCATTTCCATCATGACAACCACATTGTGTTTCTGCTGCTCCTCATATTTTTTACTGTCGTCGGACATTTGATTCTGTCTGTAAATCGTTTAATATTATCATCATAAATAATGACTGATTTTTTACTATTGCTTCTTGTTAAAGTATATTCTCATTAAAGTTGACCATTATAAGTTTTAGTATTGTTTCTTTGTTAAATATTTTAGATATACAGTCAAACTTTGATGGCTCAAACTCGGAGGGCCGGTGCAAATTTGTTTGAGAGCTGGGTAGTTCCAGCCATCCAAGGTTGAACTATTTTCACATAGGACATAGGCCTAAATGTTAAAGGGACTCCACTGAGTTTTTTTTACATGAAGGGACAGAAAAATATTTTTTCAAGATATTTGTTAAACTGTGTGTAGGTTTGGACCAATAAATCATGTACAAACTTTTAGATCTCATTTGCTTACTCTGCTTCCCAGGGACAATCAATTTTATTCCACAAATTGATCCCCTTTTGAAAAGCGTAGCAATGCCTTTTTACACAAATTGGCCCAAAATCTGCGTAAAAATTGATTTATGAAATAATTAAAAAATTTCTGATTTTAGACTATTTATATAAGACCTCAGTGGAGTTCTTTTAAGTTTTAAGTCTCTGTTTTATTAAGGGGCATAATTAAAAATATCACAAATCAGTGAATCATTTTGACACTTGTTTTTATATTATAAAGATCTACTTCCATAATTATATAAAAAATTTTCAAAACAACATATTTTTCAATTATCTTGCTGAAACGGCCAATATTTTTGAACCTGACAACATGTTTTTCAATTATCTTTCTAAAACAAATAATCAAAAGAAAAAGAGCACCATACTTCCACCCAAGTAGTGGGAGCACAAAAAAGCTATGATCGTACAGAGTAGTACTAAATATCAAATTTCAACTTTTTACATTCCTGACCTGTTCATTTTTTTTCCAGCTACAATATTCTAACAAAAAATTTATTAGCTACCAACTAACCAAGCAATAATTTTCCTATATTTGGATGTCTTTGCGTAATAGCTGTAACTCGTATGACATTAAGAAGAAGATACAACTCTTTCTCAGAAAGCCATCTGAATTTTATCTAGCAATGATATCTTTTGAAGCAATTTCTAAAATAATGTATTATTACATTTAAATGTATATTTTGTGTGTGTTTGGTCCGATTTAAACCTAGCCACCAGAAAAACAAGAGCTGTCCGTAAGACAGCGCGCTCGACTTTTTTATTGCTTGCCAATAAAAAAAGTTTTTGCAGTAAAAGGCAATACAAGAATCTCTGTATTTTTAAAGTGAACAATGGCCATGAGCATTAAGATATTTAGTGAAGAATTATTTTACTGAATTGTGTGATACCCTTGAACACTGCAGCAAAGTTTGAAATGTTTAAGTCAAAAGAGGGCTGGTAAGAAAGAAAAAAAAACTGAGTTGAGCCTTAAATAAATTTAATAGTATTAAACCCACTTTGAGAGAATAAGGTATTTTTACGTCACTCAGAACACCTTGGTAAATGACATAATAACATAATTTTTCAAGAAATCTATGCCAAGGAAGCAGTATATTTTTGTACAATCAGCATAATATATAGATTTGACTTTGTATGTGAAAGTATTATAGTTACTGGTACTAAAAACTTAACCAAGATTGTAAGTCGATAAAAGGCCTTAATTTTTAAAACAAATCCTTGACAGAGTTACCTTCTCTTGCGTACAGATGGGGGTAATGATGTGAAATAGCATTAAAAGTTTCAAAGCAATATCTCAAAGGGTTAAGGCAATAAGTGGATTTTACCCATATTCAATGTATTTTCTAAGTCAAAAAGGGGCATAATTCTGTCAAAAACCTTGACAGAGTTATGTCCTCTTGTCTGTTGATGAAGGTCGTGATGGTAAACAAGTATGGTCAGTTTCAAAGCAATACCTCCAATGGTTTTGAAATAAAGTGAGGTGGTACAAAAAACTTAACCAAGCTCAATACACTTTCTAAGTCAAAAAAGGGCCATAATTCTGTCAAAAACCTTGACAGAGTTATGTACTCTTGTCTGTAGATGGAGGTTATGATGGTGAACAAGTATGGTAAGTTTCAAAGCCATACTTGTAATACTTCTGAAATAAAGTGGGGTGGTACGAAAAACTTAACCAAGGTGTGACGCCAACGCCGACGCCGACGCCGACGCCGGGGCGAGTAGGATAGCTCCCCTTTTCATAGAAAAGTCGAGCTAAAAAGGGCATATCATAATCATGGCGTCACATGGCAACTTTCCAGCTTTACTGGTGGAAAACCACCTCAGGTGTCCCAGGATTTCGTGCATTATTTCAGGCATGAACAGGCACCTGAGTAGAACCACTGATGTCCCATAAGCTAGCTGGATGGCTGTCCCTCACATAAAATTCCAAGTCTAAGGTTTTTTTAGTTTGGATCACACAAAGAAAATGACAAATTACCATTTAAGTTTTTCATGTGCATACAAGATGGTATAACTACCATTATACAAAATGTAAATAAATCTAGCATTAGCCTACATAAAAAATATAAATTGCAAACTTTTAAAATAAAGTTTTGTTTACCCAAATATTTGCATATCTAACCTATAGTAATAAGATAATGTATTCAATAAGATGTAAGAATAAAACAATGTAAAAACTATGTGTTTAAAGGTGCCCACATTATAGTTCAATTTTATCTTAAAATATTGAAACTCTAAAATTATCCTAATTTTTATCAAAGACTTCCTATAACATTAACATGAACTTTCAATATTCCTGAAAAGTTTATTTTAGATTTCTATAAAACCTTGGCTAAAAAACAACACCAGTGTCAATAATTAATCAAGAATGTGTTCCCAAACTGTGTGTCCCACATTTTGTTAACCAATCATGTGTTCCCACATTGTGTCAATAAAAATCTGTTCCCACATTGTGTCAATAATGTGTTCCCACATTGCGTTGACCAACAGTGTGTTCAAACATTTTTTGTGAGTAATTATGTTCCAACATAATGTGTCATTAATGTGTTCCCACTTTGTGTCAATGTGTTCCCACATTGTGTCAATAACATAACCAATTCACCAATATGTGTACCTAAATTGTGCTCACCAATAATGTGTTCCCACATTGTACTGACCAATGTGTTCTGACATTGTGTTGACCAATAATGTGTTCCCACATTGTGTTGACCAATAATGTGTTCCCACATTGTGTTTACCAATAATGTGTTCACCCTAGGATCAATATTGTGTCAATAATTAATCAATTATGTGTTCTGACATTGGGCAAACAATATGTTCCACATTGTGTCATTAATAAGTTTCCACATTGTTTAAATATTTTTTTTATTCATCAAAAATGTGTTAAAATATTTCATCAATAATTAATCATATATGTGTTAAAATATTTCATCAATAATTAATCAATAATGTGTTCAAACATATGTGAAAGATTAAATCATTAATGTGTTCCAAAACTGCATGACTAATATTCACTACTGTGTTTCCCATCATTATATCAACAAGCACTTATCATAGTATTGCAAGCAATCCATAAGTCCCCTGCCGGTAAGAACCCCAGCAACAATTTGAAGAGCCAATGGCCATTCACTTATGTTTCTATTTTTCTCTATTTTAAGTAAATTTGTTGGAAAAGTTCTTTAAAAGTGATCACAGTTTTATGAACAGACATACAGACGGACTGAAGGACACTCTAAAGTTTATATTTGAAACATCCAAGTGTTACCAAAACATAACATTTTTAAAAGCAAAATTCTTAGAGAGGAGATAACTCTTGAATTAAAGATGCAATTTCATAAAAATTTTCAGCTCTTTTTGAGTAATCACAAATATTGTTATATTTGCCATGTTTTAAGCCTATTTGTTGCCAAGGCAACCAATATTTTTTCGAAATAAGAAAAAAAGATAAGACATGCATAATCTCCAGACTGCCATCTACCCATATGTCAAGTTTCATCAGTACTTTTTGAGTTATCACTGAATTCAGTTTATGTGTAAAATTTGCCATATTTTCAGTCTATGTGTTGCCATAGCAACAAGAATTTTCAACATAGGAAGAAAAGAAAAAGACATGCATAATCTTCAGACTGCCATCTACTCATATTACAAGTTTCAGAAAAATATTTTCAGTACTTTTCAAGTTATCGCGGGATCCAGTTTTGTAGACGGACGGACTGACCGACAGATGGACGGACGGAGGGTAAACCTTAAGTCCCCTCCGGTAAACTGGTAGGGGACTAATAATCAAAATCAATCAATAATGCATAACCACATTGTGTAAAAAAATTCACCAATAATTGTGTACCCAAATTGTGGCAATTAAAAATAAGAATGTGTACCAAAAATGAACTTCTATCCCAATTAAAAATGAAAATGTGTTCCAACAATGAACGTCTATGTGTTCTAAAAGTGCGTTTACTTAAAAATAATTTTTTGTGTTCCATCTTAATTCGAGAAGTTCACGTGTGTATTAAACTAAAATTATTGTGTCAAAAGTGAACCCGTATTTCCAAATAGTGTCAAACAACAATTAAAATTATGAGACATTTGTTTTATAAACTACCTGTCCGAAGACTTGTTCTTTGTCGTAATCTTAACATCAAACTTACTGAAATTTTAACATCATGAACAAAACTGTCAAACATAAATCTTAATAATTCCTAATAAATACTAACACTATCCTTTATTCTCTAACAAACACCCCAAAGCATTTTTTTAAGAAAGAAAAAGAAGTCTGTATTACCAACCGAGACAAAAGCAGTTTATTATAAAATCTAAGGAAACTAGAACATATTAAATAAATATAAAACTCCAGTATGTAACATGGTTAAAAATAATGTAAAAGGATCAACCTTTTTTATTTTGACCATAATTAACTCTTTTTTCAATGTTATTTAAATCAGATAATCGTTTTCCGTTATTCTAAGCTACTGACATTAGTAAATTTTTAGCTGTGTTAGACTCAGAGTCTCTGTATTAGAAATAAGACGATGTGTAAGTACAAAGAAATAATACAATCAAGAAAGAGCAAAATATATAATTGTTGCCAAACAGCAAGAGGGTAAGTAGAATAGTATTAAAGTAAAAAGTATGGAATACCAACAGAGTTATTAGAGGACTAATAAACAAATATATATATCCTTAATTGAAGAATGTTTAGAACTATGGTGAATCATTAGGGCCATTTTAAGTACAAGAAATCATGCATAAACCATTGTAGTTTTGGCCGTGGTATATGCGAAGCATCACAGAATTAAGTATGGTTTATCAGTAGGGTCAGTAAAACAATAGGAGAAATAATAGAAAAACTATGAAGTATTAGAATGGTCTCTAAGAAGAAACTAGAGGATGCTTTTGTAAAAAAGCGCATGTCTCCCCCACTGCACTGTGACCTTGACCTTTGACCTACTGACCCCAAAAACAATAGGGATCATCTGCTCTATAAGACCAATCATCCTATGAAGTTTGAGGGCTGTAGGTCAAAAGGAACTCTAGTTATCATCCGGAAACGAGAAATTGACCAACGGTCACTGTGACCTTGACCTTTGACCTACTGACCCCAAAAACAATAGGGATCATCTGCTCTATAAGACCAATCATCCTATGAAGTTTGAGGGCTGTAGGTCAAAAGGAACTCTAGTTATCATCCGGAAACGAGAAATTGACCAACGGTCACTGTGGACCTTGACCTTTGAACTACTGACCCCAAAAACAATAGGGATCATCTGCTCAATAAGACCAATCATCCTATGAAGTTTGAGGTCTGTAGGTCTAAAGGAACTCTAGTTATCATCCGGAAACGAGAAATTGACCAACGGTCAGTGTGACCTTGACCTTTGACCTACTGACCCCAAAAACAATAGGGATCATCAGCTCTATAAGACCAATCATCTCCCTATGAAGTTTGAGGGCTGTAGGTCAAAAGGAACTCTAGTTATCATCCGGAAACGAGAAATTGACCAACGGTCACTGTGACCTTGACCTTTGACCTACTGACCCCAAAAACAATAGGGATCATCAGCTCTATAAGACCAATCATCCTATGAAGTTTGAGGGCTGTAGGTCAAAAGGAACTCTAGTTATCATCCGGAAACGAGAAATTGACCAACGGTCACTGTGTGACCTTGACCTTTGAACTACTGACCCAAAAAACAATAGGGATCATCTGCTCAATAAGACCAATCATCCTATGAAGTTTGAGGTCTGTAGGTCTAAAGGAACTCTAGTTATCATCCGGAAACGAGAAATTGACCAACGGTCAGTGTGACCTTGACCTTTGACCTACTGACCCCAAAAAACAATAGGGATCATCAGCTCTATAAGACCAATCATCCTATGAAGTTTGAGAGCTGTAGGTCAAAAGGAACTCTAGTTATCATCCGGAAACGAGAAATTGACCAACGGTCACTGTGACCTTGACCTTTGACCTACTGACCCCAAAAACAATAGGGATCATCTGCTCTATAAGACTAATCATCCTATGAAGTTTGAGGTCTGTAGGTCAAAAGGAACTCTAGTTATCATCCGGAAACGAGAAATTGACCAACGGTCACTGTGACCTTGACCTTTGAACTACTGACCCCAAAAACAATAGGGATCATTAGCTCTATAAGACCAATCATCCTATGAAGTTTGAGGGTTGTAGGTCAAAAGGAACTCTAGTTATCATCCGGAAACGAGAAATTGACCAACGGTCACTGTGACCTTGACCTTTGAACTACTGACCCCAAAAACAATAGGGATCATCTGCTTAATAAGACCAATCATCCTATGAAGTTTGAGGTCTGTAGGTCTAAAGGAACTCTAGTTATCATCCGGAAACGAGAAATTGACCAACGGTCAGTGTGACCTTGACCTTTGACCTACTGACCCCAAAAACAATAGGGATCATCAGCTCTATAAGACCAATCATCCTATGAAGTTTGAGGGCTGTAGGTCAAAAGGAACTCTAGTTATCGTCCGGAAACGAAGAATGGACGGACGGACTGACGGACGGACTGACGGACGGACGGACTGACGGACAGGGCAAAAACAATATGTCTCCCCCCGAGGTGGGGGAGACATAATGAAGGTGAAACTATGGAGTATGAAAAGGGCCACTAAAAGAGCATTGTTTATGACACTATACAGTCTCAAAAAGGGTCACAAAAACAGCACTAAGTGTGAAACTATGGAATATGAAAAGGGTCTCTAAAAGAGCATTAAAGGTGAAATATGGAGAATCAAAAGTGCCACTAAAACAGCACTGATTGTGAAACTAAGGAGCATTAAAAGGACCACTCAGCATTAAAGGTAAAACTTTGGTGTATAGAGGATCACTTAAAGAGCATTAAAAGTAAAACTATGGAATTTAGGGTCGCCGCTAAAAGAGCATTGAGTGAAGCTATGAAACTATGGAGTATCAAAAGGACCAAAAAAACAAGCATTGAATGTGATAAAGACATAGAGCATTGTAAAAGAAACTATGGAGTATCAGTAGAAATGGAAAATAATCAATGTGATATCAAGGGCATTACTACTTAGGCATAACTACATGGGCATAATACTACAAGGTTATAGATTAGTTAAGTTTAGTTGTTTAGGGGATCATTCATATCTCTAGTCAATTAACAGGTTAATCAAACAAGTCCTAAACTTACTTTTGTAACCTGAAAGCATTTTGAAATAAATTGATAAAACTTTTTATCTATTGTAAAACATAATCAGGGGCGTAGCTTGGTTTCAATTCATGTGTAGGCCAAATTCTAGTTGGATATGGGGGTATTATTCCCCCTATATCCCCTAGATTTAGATTTTTTCTGGATTGTCACATATGCATTTTGGCCAAGATTTAGTCTTAATATGTTCTGGGAATTGTATAGAAATTATAGGTAGTTTAGAAAATTATATATATTTTGTCACTTTTCTGGTAAAATGTGTAGACTTGTTAAAGGCCTCAGTAGGAAGCTACGCCCCTGAGAATAATGTATGAATTATATAATCTCTATTGGGACAAGAATAAAGAATATCTTGATTGATAAAAGAAACTTATATCCACATAAAAATGATAAAAATGAATCATTTACGACTAAAAAATAAAATCACTCTAGTGTCAGAATTTGATAATCATAAAAAAAAATCTTATGAAAAGTTAAAATAAACATGAATCTACAATATTGCCTCTATTACAGGTTTTATCTGTTATTTTCCATACTTGTCAAACAAATAGCTATATGATGTTGATCGGTGCATTGTTTACAGATTTTTTTGGGAAAAAAAAAAAACCCCAAAAACTGTAGAATAACGAAATTGATAAACCAAACCTAAGCACATACTTATAACAAGAGCCCGGTTTGAGCCGGGTGATGCTCCCCGAATAGGTTTTGGACACAGGAAAGTACACCTCTTGCAGTTTCAGAGTTATGTCCGTGGAAAAAGTTCAAAGTGCAATAATTCCAAAATTAGGCAAGGCAGAGTTACAGTTCTTTGCACTGCACTTCTAATCAATGTGATCTATCAACCTACACAGTTTCTTGATGATATCTCTATGATTTCTGAGTTATGTCCTGGACAATTCAAAAAGTAAAAATAAACAAAGGGCAATAACTCCAGAATTAGGCTAGATAGAGTTATGACTCTTGTGCACTGCACATCTACCCATTGAGATTTATCTACCTACAAAGTTTCATGTTGATATCTCTTATAGTTTTACAGCTATGTCCTGGACAAGATTTTTCTAAAAGGGGAGATTATTCAAAAATAAGGCTTAACAGAGTTATGGTTCTTTTGCATTGCACCTCTACTCAATGAGATTTATCTACCTACAATGTTTCATGTTGATATCTCTTATAGTTTTAGAGTTATGCCCCGGACAAGATTTTTCTATAAGGGGAGATCATTCAAAAACCAGGCAGAATAGAGTTATGGTTCTTTGACAATGCATTCCCCCTCGATGCCCTCTACCACTGTATGAAGTTTCAACAAATTATCTCCAAGGGTTTTCAAGTTATGTTCCGGACAAAGTTCAAGTTCAAAGTATTAAAATAAACAAAGGGCAATAACTCCAAAATTAGGACAAAAAGAGTTATTGTTCTTATGCACTGCACATCTACCCATTGAGATCTATTCACCTACAAAGTTTCATGTTGATATCTCTTATAGTTTTAGAGTTATGCCCCGGACAAGATTTTTCTATAAGGGGAGATAATTCAAAAACCGGGCAAAATAGAGTTATGGTTCTTTGACACTGCACTCCCCCTCGATGCCCTCTACCACTGTATGAAGTTTCAACAAATTATCTCCAAGGGTTTTCAAGTTATGCTCCGGACAAAGTTCAAAGTATTAAAATTAACAAAGGGCAATAACTCCAAAATTAGGATGAAAAGAGTTATTGTTCTTATGCACTGCACATCTACCCATTGAGATCTATTCACCTACAAAGTTTCATGTTGATATCTCTTATAGTTTTAGAGTTATGCCCCGGACAAGATTTTTCTATAAGGGGAGATAATTCAAAAACCGGGCAAAATAGAGTTATGGTTCTTTGACACTGCACTCCCCCTTGATGCCCTCTACCACTGTATGAAGTTTCAACAAATTATCTCCAAGGGTTTTCAAGTTATGCTCCGGACAAGACAACGGACGGACAGACGGACAAGGCGCCGACTATATGCTCCCCCAAAATTTTTCGGGGAGCATAAAAACAGTAAGTATAGTTAAATCTATAATTATCATGTGAGCGGACAACCGCGAACCCTACAAGTTTAAAAGAGATAAAAATCTTTCCAAAGTAAAAAAAAAACAACAAAAAACTTGCCGTAAAAAAATACTTACAATTTCTCATACTGAGCTTGGAGATCTTGATACTGAGCCGCGTCGGTCGAAACACTGCCAGCCTTCGTCGAGACCGTCCTCTGACTGCCTCGTGTCTCTAACGCGTCAGCCGTTACCCCTGATTTCTCCCGCATTATAGTTCGTTGAGTTGCGTCCCTTGACATTCCCATCATTAATGAGGAAACCACTGGACCCTGAATAGTAGTGATGGAAATCGGATGAAATGTGTCCCAATCGATCATCGGTTAAGTCGGATGAGACATAATCGATAACTTTTTGAATAAAGTCGCGTTAAAAAGAAATAGGGAAGTATCATTTCTTCCCAATCTTCCCAAGGCACTTGATAACATTCAGTAGCATGAACTTCATTTTCCACTTTTCAACATAGTTTTAACCTTATATAGTCATAATTTTACGAAATAGATTTTATTTTTCAATGGATGTCAAATAATAACATTCAAATCACATTATATTACTATTGATTACATTCACGTATTGATCCTATTCAACTCCAAATTGTCTCTGCGATGATTTTTTGCGATCGGTGAGGTGTTCTTTAAAGAAAATTAACGTCAGAATTAATTCCCTTTGATACTTTACTGCAGTAAGCATTTTCGACGACGTCGCGGAACAATTTTTTTGTAAATCGATTGTTGTCGCTTTACATAACAGTAAATGATTATCGGCGACTTGCGACAATCGGAACATCACTACTGAATAGTATAAAACATTTACCATAACAAGTAATACATGGGCAAAAACTCGCCACATTTCAAATGCATTGCCAAGGACTCATACTTTCAAATCTGAATTTCAGCATTTTTCTTTTGTTGCTGTTGAGTTTTTTGTCGCACCAACACAGTACAGTGATTATCCAGCTTTACAGGTAGAGGGAGACCTCAGGTGTCTTTCTGTGAAATATTTCAGGCACAATCGGCACCTGAGTAGAACCACCAACATTATGGTAATTTCCTCATAGCATTCAATGGATGGTATAAAAAAGTTGTGAAGTGAGAAGATCTTTTATACTATAAAAAAGGTAACATAAAATAATGTATTATTATAGGACAAAACTTTAGGACATACTTTTCCTTCAAATTTGACAACCAGTGCTAAGAACAAAAATGATATTAATAGTGATGGTTTCTATATTATATAAAGATCCTCAAAGCTTTTCACTATGATTGTGTCAGCATCATGTAAGTAATACATACCCTGTCATTTTGTAGCACGCTGTTGATAACTTGAGAAACCTCATTTAATACTGAAAAAGAACAATCCCATAAATATTTTGCATAGATTATCGATGAAATAACAGTATAATAAATTTAACATTTAAATATTTGACAAGGCATTGATTGCCAAGTCTGGGCTGGGCAGGCAAATATTTCAAGGGAGGCATAAATTCCACTTTAGGCATAACAGTCATAAACTTATTTTTAATTTCAATATTCATATATTTTAACCCAGGCCACACAAGACCACAAAAGTTATCCCTATATGTTGCTCCTACTCTGTAGCAGTTGACACAAAAAAGACCGTATAACTTGTCAAATCTCGTTATTACTAATTAATACTGAACAGATTAAAATGATAATTGATTCATAATTTTGCAGCAGCCTTGTATATAGATAATATATTCATCATAAATGTCCAATGAAAAATGAACGTTACAAACTTCCAGTTATATAATTATGTTTAGCTATATATATACACTGTTATAAACCGGAACATACATGTATATACATACCATAATAGATATTTTCTGTCATGTTGGAGATTTGCGGCACAACTTTATCGTCCTTATTGAACTGTAAAATATCTAAATCTGTCAGAATCTGGCTGGCAGACATTTGATCTGAAAACAGATGGAATGAAATATAAAATAAAATAATGATTCATCTGTAAAATTATCCATGGAAACCTAATCTTATCACCCTAAATTTGTAAATAGACTTGACCTGCTGTGAATATGGAATGGTCCATTTATAATTTGAAGGGTGAGCAATCATTTACTGCCATTCAATCTTGTCAGACTGCACGGACAAATGACTGAATTGAGATCAAGGGCCATTTCTATTGTTTTTTTTGTTTGTTTAATAAAGGGCCATTGGCCTCTTCCTCTATTGTTATGGAATGAACTCTATTGTTCTCTTTTATTCTGTTTACAGTTAGATAGACCCTTATCCCTATTCAGTAGTGCGAATATTCCGAATATTTCGACTTTGGCATCAAAATAGTAATATAAAGTTATCTTATAATCTATACAAAATTATTTCAGTTCCATTGTGTTGGAAGGTATAATCTTATTGAAACAATCTTAAATCCATTACTAGAACCCACAAGTACTAAGCAATGAACGTAAAGTTTCTTGCTCAAGGCAACATTATGGCCCTGACTGGGTCCGAACCCATGAAACCAGGATTCCTTAGATAATTAGTCAGTAGTGATTAAAATTAAGTTGCCAACAGTAAAGAGCCTGATCAAATAAAATGTAGGCTGTCCAGGCTCGATACTAATTGTCACAGTCATGTCACGTCCCCTAGTTATCAAATGGTGACACATCATAATTGTCACAATAAGAATTTAACTTACCTTTATCAACCAGCACTCTGCTCATTGCCTCCTTAAAGTTATGGATTCCCGTATATGCTCTTAAATATTCACTAACTAGTGGATGTTCTGATAAATTGGTTGATTTTCTAAAATACAAGAAAACACATCATCAAACTCATGTTTAATATCAATTTATTAAAGCTACAATAATTGAAGCAATATTTCCATTAAAATGTAACAAAAGATGGAAAATAATTTTGCACATGGACACAGTATAAAATTTTGTTTGGCAAAGGCATACAAAAAGGAAATACAATGTTCAATACTGTTGAAAAAGAGCATGAAATACTAAATGTTCTTAACATAGACACACAATGAGTAAATGGCATGCTCAATGTCTTTTGCATAGACAAGCAAAGAACTTATCTAATGCTCAAAGTTCTTGGCATACTAAGTAAACACACAATGTGGTCATGCATGATTGATATTCTTGGCATAAACAGATAAAGCTGTAATAAAATAATCAAAATTCTTGGCGTAAACATATAGAGGTACTGTAATTCTTATCACAATAATGTTCTTAGCATAAACATACAAAGAAGTAATGCAATGCAATGCCTGCAACAATGTCATATTATAGAAATATATTATAGGCATAAATGTACAAAATGTTACAATAAGTTACCTAGAAGCTACACTGATTTTCCTGTTGACCTCTTGTTTACTAGGGGGTGGAGACGTACCAGCATCTAGTGTGTCTTCCCTCATAAATACCTCCTCTGTAATAATGAATAAATCATATTAGGTATAAAGAAACTTGAAATTGATGTACATATAATTGATTAACACAAGAACGTGTTGAACCGGGTGATGCTCCCCAAGAAGGTTCTGGACACAGGAAAGTATAAAAAAAATGAACAAAGTGCAAAAACTCCAAAATTAGGCAAGGCGGAGTTATGTTTTTTTGCACTGCACTTCTATTCAATGAGATCTATCTATCTATAAAGTTTCCTGATGATATCAGAGTTAGACCAGGCCTTGTTTAGGTTCTTTAAGCATTGCAGTTCTATCAAATTATATCTAGCTACACTTCCACCCAATGAGACCTATCCATCTACAAAGTTTCATGTTGATATCTCTTATAATTTTAGAGTAATGTCCCGGACAAAGTTCAAAGTGTCAAAATGAACAAAGGGCAATAACTCCAAAAGTAGGCAAGACAGTGTTACAGCTCTTGTGCACTGCAAACCTACTTAATGAGATCTATCTACCTACAAAGTTTCATGTTGCTACCTCTTATAGTAATAGAGTTATGTCCTGGACAAAGTTCAAAGTGTAAAAATAAACAATGGGGGATAATTCAAAAATTAGGCATGGCAGAGTTACGGTTCTTGTGCACTGCACACCTACTTAATGAGATCTTTCTACCTACAAAGTTTCATGTTGATACCACTTATAGTTTTAGAGTTATGTCCTGGACAAAGTTCAAAGTGTAAAATAAACAAAGGGGGATAATTCAAAAATTAGGCAAGGCAGAGTTACGGTTCTTGTGCACTGCACACCTACTCAATCAGATCTATCTACCTACAAAGTTTCATGTTGATACCTCTTATACATTTAGAGTTATGTCCCAGACGAAGTTCAAAGTGTAAAAATAAACAATGGGGGATAATTCAAAAAATAGGCAATGCAGAGTTACGGTTCTTGTTCACTGCACACCTACTCAATGAGATCTATCTACCTACAAAGTTTCATGTTGATACCTATCATAGTTTTAGAGTTATGTCCTGAACAAAGTTCAAAGTGTAAAAATAAACAAAGGGGGATAATTCAAAAATTAGGCATGGCAGAGTTACGGTTCTTGTTCAATGCACACCTACCCAATGAGATCTATCTACCTACAAAGTTTCATGTTGATACCTCTTATACATTTAGAGTTATGTCCCAGACAAAGTTCAAAGTGTAAAAATAAACAAATGGGGATAATTCAAAAATTAGGCAAGGCAGAGTTACGGTTCTTGTGCACTGCACACCTACTCAATGAGATCTATCTACCTACAAAGTTTCATGTTGATACCTCTTGTTGTTACAAAGTTATGTCCTGGACAAGAAAAGGGGACGGAGGGACAGAAAGACGGACGGACGGACAAGGTGGTGACCAAAATTTAATGCTCTCCCAAAATTTTTCAGAGAGCATAAAAATTGATGTTCTTGCATTTTAGACTTGTTTTTCCACAAGGGTTTTTTCCAATCTGGCAATAATTGATGTACATCTTCTAGCATTTTAGACTGATGTTTCATTAAGATTTTTACCAATGCCACAAATTTCATTGGTAATTGATGTACTACTTGCATTTTAGACTGGGATTTCCATAGGATTTTACACATGCAAGAAATTTCATCTTGCATTGGGTTAGCCACTTGAATTGCATGCTTTAAAGTGATAATTTTTGGAAGCATTTTTAATGAAACTGTATAGGATGATGTCATTTTACTGTTATGAACTTGTAAATTTATATCCTACTGTAAGAAAATAATAGCAGAAGAGCAGGCATTAATTTCTATGAAAAATTAATGTTTTAAGGTAAATTTTTTTAAAATATTGCTAGAATATGTAAGAAAAAATATCTGGCATGCATTCAGATCTGAGTTGAGCATGGACCTCTAAATCCCGCAGCACGTGTCCAACCACTGGACCACTTGTCACCTTCATGCAGAAACTAGTTAACTCCCATTAAATTATATAAGGAGTTACTGCACTAAGGTGACACACTGTTCCCCATATTGATGGAAATGTAAACATTTGTTTTCTCACCTTTTAAATCATCAGGTATAGGCAGGTCATCATCATCTTCTATGATTAATTCATCATCTATAGATTTATGAGGTGGTAACGAAATAACCGGAGATTTTGTACGTCTATCCTCAACAGCCTGTCGCGTCTCGTCCAAGCGAGATTTAAACTGACTACGAAGTGATGCCCGGCTCTTAGCAGACGACTGTCTTACCTCATCCTCGGTGTTGCCGGAGACCGGCTCATACTCAATCTGGGCCAGCTATTAATAGAATAATAGAATGTAAAAAAAAAATAATCTGTAAAATGTTGCTATGGTTTCAATATTAAATTTATTTTACCATTTTTTAATAATAATTTTCTTCATCTAATGAATATAGTATCTTATTCCCATGACTCTTTCAGTTAGTAGTATATTAGTAACTTAGCAAAATAAATCTACAAAACTATTTAACATAGTCACGTACTGGACATATGAAAATGTTCAAGAACGTATTTAAAGCAAGACTGACATATAAAAAATAATCGTCCATTTTAATACTTCACTGTTTCTTAAAACGATAAAAATCTTAAAACAAGAAAACATATTTAAATAGCTGACCAAACGTATGAAAAATATCATGATATTATAATGTTTTTTTTTAAATTCCATAAGATTTCAATAAAAAAAAATTAAATTTTTTTAAGACTTAAAATTTTAAGTGACACAACTTGGATATAAAGGGGAACAAAGCACAAGTGAATGAACAAAAAAAACAAAATGGTGCATTTACGGAAACATAACAACATGGTGCTGGGGAATAACAGAACATTTGAAAGTGTAAACTAAAGTTTGTCTATTATAACATAACTGTAGAAAATCATGAACCTTCTAATACAACTGAAAATAAGAATAGAATTTAAATGCAGAGTTATCATCTAGCACTAAACAAAAATGTATACAAAACAAGATAAACATCATGTTACAACATAAATGTCATGTTACAATAAATTATGTTATAACATAAATATCATGTCACTACATAAACTTTCATGTCACAACATGAACATCATGTCACAACATAAACTTAATGTCACAATACAAATATTATGTCATGACACAAATTTCATGTGGCAATTTAATGTCATGTCTCAACATAAAATTTGTTACAACACAAAATGTCATGTCACAATATAAACATCATATCACAACAAAAACTTCATACCATAACATTAATGTCTGTCTTGTCACATGACAATGTCATGTCACCACATGAACATCATGTTGTAATATAATGTCATGTCACAACATAAAGCCATGTCACAACAAAAACCTTATGTGACAACATAAACCTCTCTCGGATAACTGTTTTAGAGGAAACACAGCCGAGTCTTAATTGTGACCCATCTAAACAGTTATCTGGAAAATAATAAGATGAGCATCTTATATACAATACACCAGAAGTTAACATAATTTACGAGGATAAATAAAATAATAATAAGGTATTCATCACATGACCTGCTTTTTGCTTTTATGTAATAATATTTTACAATATTTAAACTTCACATTATTTAGATTTAACAGATAAACCACTGTGTTTGTTTCCTTAAAAGTTAAGAAAAGGTAAAAAAAGCACTTTTTCTATTTACTCAAAATACTTTTTCAGCATAAGGGCAGAAGGGCAAACTGATATCTACATGCATTTTTAAGAGGCATAAATAGAAAATTAACTTATCATAAGACATAAAAGTTGGTACAAGTATCAGATCATGTGATAAAATGAATCCTATATTTATTTTCATTTCATATTAACATTTTTTTAATGTTATTCTTTGTTAATTGTTAGCGAGTAAGGTAGCTGGATAGCTTCTCGCAAGAAAGAATTCAAAGTTCCTGGTTAGATTGGAACACACAGCTGTGAGGGGCAAATGGGGCAAATGATCTTAACCACTCGACCACGGACACCCCATAAGAGAGGCTTCTTTCATAACACTCTTTCTACACAAAGTTTTAGTAAAGTTAATATGAAATAAAAACTCATATCAGACCCTAAATATGTAAGACTGCAATTAAAATGAACTGTTAAATGCTCGAGCAAAATTTCAAATATTGTATCAAAAGGTTTCTTTCAGAATTGATCATAATTATCTATCTCTTTGAAGACCACCTATAGAGTTGATATTAATTATGAAAACATGCTTGAAGCCAGAGTGAGGTAAGTGCATCATGCCCCGGAACCCCTCTAAGATTCGGATATCAATTTTACATTGTTTTTTTGAGAAAATCACAGACAATCAATTTTGACTTGTGACCCCTCTAGAAAACTAGTAAAATGTCAAACACAACTGACTTAATGTCTGAAACTTTGCATTCCCCACTAAAAAAAGTCCTGAATTGACAACTGAATAATTCTTTTTTGCTACTTAATGTTATATAATTTGACAGTTCATTTTAATCTAGTTCAACATCTAAACAAAGGAAAAATATATAAGCATGAACATAACATAATACAGCGATATAATACAAAGGAGGGGGAGGAGTCTGTTGCCCATGTGATTATGATAATTACCAAATCATCTGTCTGTGTCTCTTTATGGAAATGAGGAGGCGGAGTTTTAGGCAAAGTAGGAGGAGAATCACAAATTCTGGGTTGTACAGAAGAGATTGACACAGGGCGCTGCACATCTGACACCATAGTGCCAGGAGTGGCAGTAGTCCTTGGAGATCTATTTATAGCAACAGGAGATGCTCTATTTATAGTTTCAGGAGAGACTCGACCAAAAGTAGATGGAGATTTAGGGTGCTGAAGTTCAGTGTGGGCAGAGCTTTTAGATTTAGCAGAAAGCCTGGGTTGAATACGAGAGGCGGGGCTAGATGTAGAAAGGGAGGAGTATTTAGCAGTAGTCTCCTCTTGAACCGCCTCCTTGTCTGACTCCGGCTGAAATATTCAATGCAGTCATAAAGCTATTACATCAAAATTAAAACCATGTGAGGATTTATCTGAAAAATAATATTAAGCATTCAAACATAAATACATAAACATACAATATGTAATATACTGAGTAACATGTTTTGTTAAATTCCACATTCTTATAATCTTCAATGAAAATTACCAAGTCTGTGAGAAGCATGTAAATTTTTATTATTAAATTTGTATTTAAAAAGGGCTATTTCATATGGTTTTATAACTAAGCAATTTAAGTTTTCTTCCAAACATTTTCCTTTCATATTCCTAATGAATTTATTAGCATTAACCTTCTACCAATAAATATAATATTTCTATGTATTGAAAAAAAAAACAACAACAAAGTTTCGAAATTGAGTTAAACATTTAGGGGTGAATAAAAAAATACCAGGGTATAATTGGAAATAATAAGCTAGAAAGCATTGTTACTTATTTCTAATCTTAAAATGGCACTATGCTTTAGTCATAATTATTTCTATTATAAAGTCTGAAATTTATATTAAATTTCTAGCTCAATAACTAAATTCCTATTTTTAAAAAAACAACGAAAAAGGAAAAACAATTAAGCATTAAAGTAGGTCTCTAAACATCCTCCTCTATTTTTTACAAATATATAAAAGAAATGTCTGTTTCTGGCTTTGATAATACAAACATGCTCATGAAAGGTTTTAACTTTACCCCATCTTTTACTACAGTAAAAGTAAAATACTACCATATAAAATGTAGGCCGCGACTAATTAGTGTGCAGTCTTATGGGCCAGTAAATATGGTTGAAGTTGTTATCTTCAAACTTAGCCAAGTCTATTTATAGGTTAACCCCTGATTGCTGATCACCATTATGCAATCATGTTCCCAAAAACAGCCCTAAAATGTCCCTAATGACATTGAGGGCCTATTTTAGTTACTATATATAGAAATACAGGTATTGATAGAGAGTATTATCAGAATCATACATTTTTTCCACCCTATTTTTAACGGGCTTACAGAGGGTTCATACAAAGTGTTTGCTTTAAATCTTTTCCTATAATCATTCCTTTCAAAACAATATACAATATTGGGAATCATATTTTTTACACACCTCATTATGAAAAAGAAAATTTCTTGTCTTCACATTAGTCTACATTTTGAAGATGAACATTTTCAAGACTGAAAACAAAACACCTTGAATGACCCTCAACAACAATATAAAAATTCTTTCATTTTTTAAGCTAAAATTCTACTTTTGAAATGTACATAAAAGGTACATAAAAGGTACATAATGTTAGTAACATTTACAGTGAAACCTCTGCAAAGTAACACCCTTAATGGGCACTTTTTCTATTGGCCTATCATGGGCACACTTTCTATTGGCCTATTATAGGCACACTTTCTTATTGGCCTACAATGGGCACAAGTCTTTCAAATATTGATAAAAATCACTAGAAGTTTATCACTTGAATATTCTTATAAAATATTCCTTGAAAAAAGTTTAAAAGAGTTTTATGTGACTTTGTATGAGCTTTTATATGATGAATTATATATAATATTGTGTTCAAGAACACTAAATTTATTATCTGCTTTTTAGATATGTAATACCGGATCATGTATCTCACACATTCCAATAATTAATTCCATATTCTTTCATGGTTTGTTATCATAATTGACACCAATTATTACTATAGACAATTATTTATGCCATTATAGACCAATTCACTTTAATTGGTGGAAAAACTGTTAAGTTGTTGTTAAAGAGGCTTTGCTCTATGGAGGTTAAAATTAATAGTGATGCATTAATTTTGGGCAGATTGGGAACTGTCCTTATATAGAGGTATTTGCTCTAGAGAAGGTCCCTCTACAGAGGTTCCACTGTATCTTTAGCCAATATTAGTAATTTTTCAACAAAAATAATGGTTATTTCCTAGAAAATCTAAATGACAAAGGTGTTATTTAACACATGTGAATAAAAAACCAAATTCAAGCAAATTCTCTTAAAATAAAACACTTTGTGAACGGCTCTCTGCAAAAAAGAAAAACAAAATGGTAAAACATCAACAATGGGTTTCATGCTGCCTAGTGGATAACTTTTAAAATACCTCTTCAGGCCAGATCTCCTTCACATCAAAATTTTGAAGGTCACTTTTTGTATTCATGGTTGTCATAGCAACATAATCATTTTTGAATTTCCGATTCGGGGGAAAAAGATTTTCTTTTGGCGTTTTTTCAGCTTGAGGATGCATTTTGTCCGTCTCACTTAAAATTGATTTGTCAGCAAATTCCGAGAACCCTACGCCATACTTATTTTTATTTGCAAATGAGGAAAGTCTGTTGCTAAGCGACCCTTTTCCAGGAGGTAAACTCTCACCTAGCATATAAGATGATGACCTTGACCTAGATTTAGCAAATCCTGCAAATGACCTTGACCTACATGGTTGACGTCTGCTTCTTATTGTTTCAGAATCTTTGTCTTCAAGGTTACAATTACTTCCTGTTATGGCGAATGATTCTAAATTATGAAAGTTAGCATCTTCATTCACTGAGGAAACTGGGTCAATTTGTTCGACAAGATTTTTCAAAATTTTTGGCTTGATTCCCGGCCTTCTCTTATGCTCAGCCTCAATTTCAAAGGTTAAAACTTTCGACACACATTCAAATTTGGTAACCTTAGCTATATCTGGTACAGTCGGTAACTGGGCTAAATGGTTTGAAAAAGTTTCAATTTTCTCAGGAGTTTGTACTATCTCCTCTTTTATATCTATATTTTGTGGGCTTAAATCTGATTGGTCGGTTTGAATTTCTGATACAGAGCTGGCATTATTTTCTAGTGATAAGAGAGAATTAGTTTCATTGTCTGTCACAGAGACATTGCTTGAAGACTGCTGCGTCTGTAAGAAAATGTAAATGAAAATATAATAGAAATACATGTAATATCAATGGCATGGTGCAAAAGGGTTGTAACTCATATGAAATAAAGAAGGAGTTATATGGCCTTTTCACACCAAGCTGTCGGTATGGCCTTATTTAGTCATAAAAAACATACTCATTATTTGCTGCAATGTTACAATGTCATTAAATGCAACTTTCAAAGAAAATTATGAATTAATCCTTATTGTTATTGATATCTATTGTTCCAGTTTCTGTAACAAAGTGGTTAATATTGGTTAATATTCGGATATCAGAAAATAATGGTTTTTCCAAACTAATTTCCCGGTACAAACAAACTTTTACCATTCTTGCTTCAGGATGCATTACTATTCTCACTAGATTAGTTAACCTGTTTGTGCTTTTTTAAGGGTTGTAGCTGTTATAGTTTGTTTGTACCCCAGATTAGCTGGAAAAACCCAAAGTTCTAATGTCTACTGAAAAAGAACGACAAGTTAATCATCATTATAAATAACAGCATGTGGCACACTGGTAAACATGTTAATTATTATAAGGTTTTAACATGATAAAGTTGTCCAGGAGTTAAACAAGTAATTCGGCTTTTTGGTGGGGTATCAGGGACAAACATTCTCTTGGGAAACACAATCTCTAACCTTCTTCGATGACGATTTCGACTTTTCAGACGTTATTGATGAAGCCTTCAACACAAGTTTTGCATTATCATTCAATTTATCAATGGCTGCCTTTAGTTCTGCTGGATGAACTTGGTGATCTTCCTCACCAAACAGCATTTGCTGCATAGTGACTGGCAGGGACTTCTTTTTTGGTGATATTACTACGCTTATAGGTGACGCAATTATTTCTTTAGTTGGTATATCGACTGGTGTTATTTTCCTTAATTTAGATTTCTTTTCCTGACTGACTTCCTGTTGAACTTCTTTTACTGGTTTCTTTTCTACAAAAGGCGAGAAAGGATCATGAGGAGAGAGCCTACGCCACTCAGATGATGTCAAGGTCCTTGGGAGGCTTGCAGAAAAAGAGTCCCTTCGGGACGAGAGGTAGTCAGCCATTCCAGATCCACTGTGCAAAACTTCTCTATCCAACTCAGCAACCTTGTCTTCAGTTTTTACTTCTTTTACATCACTTGTAAATAGCTTTGTGTCTTTCTTCTGCACCGGGGGTAGGCTTTTAAATGGTATCTCGTTTTTTTGTGCTTTTGAGTATTTTGGTTTCTTTTGTTTGACCAATTTGAATTCCATGTCTTTGTCAGGCTGTTAATGAAAAGATATTTAATGGTGTCTTGTAAAAGAAGTTACCAGATTATAATGATCCTAATGTTCTTGGTCTTCTAATGTATTTTTTGTTTGTTTTTTGTTGTTGTTTTTTTATTTTTTTTATAAATTTTATTAATTTTTCTTGAGTAAAAAGAATAATTACCTATTTCAAAACTTGATTAAAATAGATAACTAAAATACGATAAATTAACATATCTTTTTTACAGATTGGATTTGATATAAATAAATTATGAAAACATACAAGCTTGTTATTACAATGTGTTAGATCAAACAAAATTAATAAAACTTCAGTATGTTTTGGAATGCTTATTTATAAAACATTTAGTTGCAAACTGTTATTTATTTATTTTATTTTATTTTTTATTTTATTTTTTTTTTTTTTTTGGGGGGGGGGGGGGGGGACTTTTTAGTCACACTGTCACTGTTAAGGTCATATGGCAACTTTCCCTAGGTTGAGAGGCAAGACACCCAAACCATAACTCGTTTCTGATTCCATAATATTGTTACATTAAAGCAAACATTTTTTGTTTAGAGTGAACAGAACAGGTTGTTTCATTTTGTGAAATTAGGTTTAATCAAACTAAATGGGGGAACTTTTCATAAAATGACCTTAACTTCTGGAGCTTCCTCTTCTACCTTCTCTCGACTGACCTTTAACCTTGACACCGCTGACCCCTTTACTGACCTATGACCTGATATAGCCGAGATTGCTCGTGAGCCAACTTTAGAAAAGCTGTCAAAAACACTATCGGGCAAGACACCTAGTTCTACAGATTCCTGGGCAATTTGACTGGCCAGTGATAGAATTGTCACTGTCCTCTCAAGCTGCACATCCCTGAGAGCTTGTTCTCTAGACAAGCTTCTGATCGCTGATCTCAGTGACTCAAGCGTCTTCTGCTGTTCTATATTTAGATTGTCTTCTGCCATCATTGTTTTCAAATTATTCAAAGCTTCTGACTGACTTGGAGGTAAGACCATGGCTTCACCTTCATCCATGTCAGTATCAGTGCTCATTGAATCAATACTGGCTTCACTCTGCAAGCTTCTGAGCCGCGATGTTCTGGGTGTCCTGAAAGCTTCTTTTGGAGGAGAAACAGGCTTCTGCTCATCTAGATTTATCTTAGGCTGGGTTGCAGATTTTTTCTCCCTGGAAGTGACTGGTTTACTCTCAAAATCCTCTTCAACGATTTCAAACTGATGAGACTAAATTCAAATTATATGAATAATTCTGACATGAAATTTAAGCCACAATTAACCCTAAAATACAAAATTACAATAAACATTTTGAACTATATTCTTAAACAGCTGCAAAAAATGAATAAATAAAATTCATACTCATTACCCTTCCTGACTTAGACAACTAAAGAATGTCCAAATACAATACAAGCTTACCTAACTAAATGCATGCTTGACAGATTTGAGAATTAACAGTAAAATAGTCCAGTTATATCAACACAACAGTGTTTACACAAATTTTTTTATCCCTGGAGATGAAAATTAACTGTAGTTAACTTCCTGTTACATCTAATGCCATAATTATATATACCAGTAAATAACAATTTTAGTTATAAGGTGTACAGTTATACCGATATATAAAAATCTTGACAATCAATAAATCTATGTATGAATGAACAATTACCACAAGTTTTTCTCACTTTTACTTTTGTAACAGATTGTAGTCTTCAACTCAATATAAAACTTACATTACCTTGACCAACTTTTTTCCTTGATAATTCTTTAAAGGGACTCCACCAAGATTATCTTTTTTTGACAAGATGGGATTGAAAATCATTTTCAGATTTGTCCAGGTTTTTTTTAAAGCGTTTGATGTAGGTCTATCCCAATATCTTGTGAGCAAAATTTCAGCACATTTGCTAACTCAAAAAAATAGTCTGAGTCAATACCTTTATAATATTTTTTAATTATTTTCTCTTTCTTTTAAATGCCAGAGTTGATCTAATATTGTAAAAATTCCAACTTTTAGACTTAATTGGACCTCAGTGGAACCCCTTTCAGGCATATTATTGGATAAACATTATATTTATTATTTTAATAAATCATTTTTTTTTTGGAATAATCAAAATTATTTCAAATAACTAATTTCTTTTCTACCATAAAATGTAAATATAAAATCTTATCTAAAACAATTAATCTTTTCAATATTATCTTCATCACACTTATAATCTTAACTAAAGAGATTAAATTTTCATCCTATCTCTCCAAGCTCTTAATAATGCTAATACTGTAAAATGTAAATCAATTTTTTAAAATTTACACACTAATATATAACTGAATGTAAATAATCGTTATCAAAGTTCTTTTTCACAATTATGAATTTTAGATTCTTCTTCACTTTTATTATTATAAAATGTAATAAATAAAATACCAGAGAAACGTAAATTTATTCAAAAAAAGATTTTTTTGTGTTTTTCTTGTCAAGGTAAAAAATTGATTCCACTTTAAAGAATAAATAATGTATATGTTTATCATAAAAATGTGTACCTTCTGAGCATTGTCCGGTTCCACAGCAGGTGGCGCTGATATAGCTCCAGTCTGCCGCGCATTCTTACGAGCCTGTAACCGGAACACAATTTGTTGATATACTTATTTAAAATGCAGAATAGTTACAAACTAACAAACATGACTAGAAATATCAATAATGATAATATTTTGTTTGAGGTAATCAATTCAAATTTTACTGATTTTTAAAAAGAAAATCAACCCTTTTACCCTTTCAGGGCTGAATTTTTTAAAAGGATTTGACCAATTTTCAATTCCGGAACAGTCTATAATTACTTCTAGGGGTATTAGAAGCAATGGTCAGCCAACTGTATTGAGTTTCAGGTCAGACTGCACAGGTGCACAGTCAAACCTGGCTCTTTTTTTTTTTGCTTGGGTTTTTCTTTGCACCTACTATTGGGATTTATGTCACACCTTCATACTATATGTCATATGGCGACTTTCCAGCTTTACTGGTGGAGAAAGACCTCAGGTGTCCTTCCGTACATAATATTTCAGGCACAAACAAGCACCTGAGTAGAACCATCAACAGTCCATAAGCTAGCTGGATAGCTTTCTCATATGAAAGAATCTGAAGACACTTGCTTGGCTCAAACCTACAGTGGTGAGAGGCATGTGGTTTGTGGTCAATGACCTTAACCACTCAGCCACAGACTCTTTACTGGTGGTAAACACAATGCAGTTGAGTCAGGGTTAAAAACTTTGAATTTTAATACCTTTACATCATTACTCAAAGAAAACTAAACTTTAGTATATAAACTTTGAGGACATCTAGATTATAAATGATAAATTAAGTCAATTTTGTTTTAATTGTTATTTAAATGTGATGATTCTTTTTTAAAACATCTAAACAAATTAAACATACATGTATTATAGATAAATATTACTTATCACATTTCGCTAGCTGAAATAAAATATTCTCACAGAAAACAAAGTTTACAAACATTTAGTATTTTAACAAAAAGAAACATTGATATAAAAAACAGACAATATATATAACAGTAAAATTGATCACTGCTTATTTTTGTTGGGTTTTTTTTGGAAATTTTCAATTCTAAAAAAAAATGAAATTCACAGTAAAAAACAAAATTGAAATATAAATACTAAAAACAAAAAGTTTCAAAACCGCTAAAATATTTTAAAACATATTTATATCTCATTCAAAATTATAATTCTATAATATTAAAAGTTATAACTTCATACCTTCAAATCAAATTTCATGTAATTCAAAATTAAGTTTTCAATAATAAAAAAAAACATAAAAAAACACTTCATTGAAGTGTAATAAACAACAACACTTCATTGAAGTGTAATAGGTAACACATGTTATAAAGGAATGATGGGAGTGTGGTGGAGGGAAAACATAGGTTTACAAAATAATCATTCAAACAAAAGGGTATAACAACAAAATCTCAAACACATTTTAATAACAGTTAAATGTTTCCAAGTTTAAATTTTCATAAACTTGTATGGGTAAAGGGGGAAAATCATTGATTTCAATTTCAATCAAAACAAACAGTGAAGTTATAAATCAAACAAAACCATTGAAATAAGGAAAATCATTCAGTGAAGTTTAGATCCAACACTCCAGTGTTGTAAATATTATCTGTTGCATACATCAGTGAAGTTATCAAATATTATCCTGTGAAGTTACTTCCAGTAAAAATGAATGATCCTGTGAAGTTATTTTTCACTCCTGTGATGTAAACTCTCCTGTGAAGTTATTTCCAGTAATATGAATGATCCAGTGAAGTTATTTCTAAAATGAATGATCCTGATAAGTTATTTTTCACTTCTGTGATTCAAACTCTCCTGTGAAGTTACTTCCAGTAAATAAATGACCCTGTGAAGTTACTTTTCACTTCAGTGAAATGCATTCTTCTGTTAAGGTACTTCTAGTTAAATTATAATTCTGTGAAGTTTTTTTGTCATTCCTGTGATGTTGTGATCTGTGATCCAGTGATGTAACTCTGTGATTCAGTGAAGATACTTATTAATCAAGTAAATCCACTTGTTGATTTGGACATTCAGTAAGTATTTGGTCCTGTGAAGTTACAACTATTAATTCACACCTGTTTACAACTATTAATTCACACCTGTGAAAATCAGGATTTACAGTGAAATCAGATTTATGATTCACTTTAGGAACCAAAGTGAATCTCCTCTCTTATGTCAAAGATCAGAAACCTTTTTTTACTTTCACTAGTAATTGTTTCAGGGAATGTGATAAAACTTACTATTCAAAATATCATGCAGTGAAGTATTTTTTGTGCTCAATGGACATGTTGTGAACATAATTTTCTTGAAATCATGCCATTTTTAAATAAACTACCTGCGTATCAGCTGGTGAAGCCATTTGACTTTCTTCTCCAGGTGTATGTAACACAGTTACAGATGCTGTGTACCTAGGTGTCTCTTCAGAAGAAAAAAATATTTTTCCGAATAAAAAAATTACTTTCACCCTCAATAAAACAACAGAAAATGAGAACCGTCTTCTACAGGAATTTACCAAAAACTAAACTTAAATTTTGCATACGGGACTGGTGTACTTTAAGGTATATATCTGACCTATGATATAAATTTTTCAGTTCCTTATAGTGCCCGTTAGGGTGGTAATACCTTAATAATCATTACAAAAAAATATTTCCCAATTCCTCTGTATATTGCAAACTCATTATTAAACGTGATAATTTTCTTGATTTTCATGGATATGTCAATTCAAGAATTTAAGACCCAACCAAAATTTATATTAAATGTTGTACAATATTTTGATTTCGTTATTTGCATTATACTTTATCAAAAACAGACTATCCAAAAATTTAAGAACCCCATGAAAATGTCCCTTTCCGCAAAACAACAAAATTTCATGTCCGCAAAATTGAGTGAATTCACCTAAGTAAAACAACACCTGTCAGAAACAACCAAAAACTTTGTCTCCCAAAGGTTATTGTTCTACAGTGGTAATACTATAAAATAAACATTATTGTGCATTTCTATTAGATTTTTCTTCATATTTTTTCACAATTATTCAAAGCTTTATGAAAAGGCAATAAGCTATTACATCACTACATCATTTCTGTTCAACTTCATTATTGTCTTTTTTTCTTTCTTAGAACTTACTACTTTATTGGTTCTTCATTTTCATATTTTTCTCAATATACCAAATCTTTATGAAATGAGCCGCGTGATAACAAAACCAACATAATGTGTTTGCGACCAGCATGGATCCAGACCAGCCTGAGCATCCGCACAGTCTGATCAGGATCCATGCTGTTCGCTTACAGACCCTATAACAAGTAAAGAAACTGATAGCGAACAGCATGGATCCTGATCAGACTGCGTGGATGCGCAGGCTGGTCTGGATCCATACTGGTCGCAAACCCATTATATTGGTTTGTCGAGACGCGGCTCAAATGGCAATAAGCTATTACATCATTACCTTGTACAGAGGTCATTCGTGAAAAAGCTGCCTTCTCCTCATCTGTCATTATACCTCTGTTGGATTCTAACATTAACTCTCTTATGTCCTGCTGTTCATCTACAGGTGATTCCTTTCGCTCATTTTTCTTTTTCACAGTTTCTTTCTGATTATCAGAATTTGTACCATCTTCACCTAAACTTGGTTTACTTTCATAACCTTGGCCTATATTAGGTTTATTTTCATGATCTTGGCCTATATTAGGTTTATTTTCATGGTCTTGGCCTATATTAGGGTTAATTTCATAATCCTGACCTAAATTAGGTTTATTTTCATGACCTTGACCTAAATTTGATTTATTCTCATGACTTTGACCTAACTTTGATTTATTCTCATGACCTTGACCTAAATTTGATTCATCTCTCTGATCTTTGTCTAAATCTGGTTGACCTTCATGCAGTTCTCTTTGAGAAGAACATTCTGCTTTTCTGGCATTGTCTTGACCATGTTCTTCCAGAGGTTTAGAAATATTTCGTTCAGCAGAACTTTTGATGTCCTGATGAACAGAATCTTTACTAGAAATTTCAGTGGGACCTTTTACTTCAACATTTTCATGTTGACCTACTAACGTATGATCTTGAACCTTACTTACTTCATCTTGAACAACATTATCCATTTCTTCCTGTTGGAATTGAATATCCTGCATTTCAAGAGAATTTTCTTGTTTTTCAGTTTCAAAGTCATTTTCACCTGCAATATCATTTTTCTCATAGTAATCATCATCATCATTAATATCATCTGCTAGATCTAATTCCATTGTCAAGGAAACAGACTTCAATGACTGCTGTGTCATGCGGCTATTCTGTAACCTACTCTGCACACTTGGTTGTATCGTCATCCTACTAGTCAACTCTGGGACTTCCTCATCTTCCTCTTGCTTCTCTCTACTTTTATCCATGACATCTTCTTTATTCATAACAAGTTGTAGGTCATCAAATTCAGGTTCAACTTCCACATCTTCATCATCAAGATCTGACAACGGAGGAGAGGTCATTTCAGCAACATGTCCAAAAGAAGATCTTATTTTTCTCCTCTTTTCCATTTCTTGGTTCAACCTTTCCTGAAGTTCCTTAGGAATTTTCGCAGAAGATGTCCGTCTCACAACTGTTACTTTTTTCGTCTCTTCTTGGTCAGCATCTTGTTTCCTTTTTATCTCTTCTGCTCTCTTTTTCTTGTAAGCTTCATAAATTTTCCTTTTATCAGCATTGATTTGTTTCCTCCTCTTTGACTTACTGTCAGCTTTCTTATTTTCCCTTTCTTTCTTCTTTTCTGTATCAACAGAAGATTGCTCTGGAATTTTAGCTGTTTTACTGGTTAGTTTCCGATTGTTATTTTGGGATTTCTGTTGAACTTCTACATTTACCTTTTCTTTAGTTCTTTCCTCAAGCTTATCCATCTTGTCCATAGCTGGCTTTCCTTCATCAACTACTTGTCTAATATTATCCTGATTTGGTTTAACTTCTTCAGACAAACTTGCTTTAACATCTGATGATTCAGGTCTTGGATTTGTCTCATTTTCAGCAAGATTTGCCTCAGTATCATCATTTATCTTTTCTTTTGTGCTATCCTGCTCCTT